GCTTTTATGTGACTGCCTTCTAGCAATTTGAGTTTTCCTGTTTTTTTATCATTCACATAATCTTGTGCCGCGATTGACACAAAATCAGGACAGTTTTTAAGTAATTGAGACATATTGTAGTCATTTACTTGATTATTTGTTGCAAATATATGTAAAGCTGAGCTTTGCTCCCCCGTTTCACATCGTTTTAAAATTTGGACATCTTCCGCTAACATGGGTATTCCTTTGGAACGAGTCCTCAACCGGTTTAGCAGCTGGGAAAACACTGAATCTTTTTGACGAACTATTTCAGTCAGTTCTACAATCTTAAATGAATCTGACCAGAGAGAACGAGCTACGCCATCACAATACAGTGCTCTGCCTTTAACTGGAGGTAATTGAAAGAAATCGCCAACTCCCACAACACCAATGTTTCCATATGGTGAAAAGTCTCCTGTTTGTTTTATTTGATGTAATCTACCATGAATATATGATAACAGATTGTGATCTACCATTGATATTTCATCTATGATAAGAAGCTGGAGATCACGATATTTTGCTCGCAATGTATTTAATTTCTCTTCACCCAAAGGAGTATACGGTAAGCGTACATCTTTTCCAATACAAAATGTTGTGTGAATGGTTGTTGCTTTTAAATTATATGCGGCAATACCTGTGGGTGCAGTCAACACAACACAAATATTATCAGGATGTTGACAAATTGGTGAGAAGATTCTTTTCGATTCATATTCAATGGCTCGAATTAAGTGACTTTTACCTGTTCCTGCACCACCTGTAATAAAAACTTTTAAAGATTCGGGATTCTTTCCATTTGCTCTGTCTAGGCACCACTGCCTAATATGATAAAAGACTGAAAATTGTTTTGCATTTAGAGATCGAATCAATGCTAGACCTTCAACTCTACTCATGCTTGTTTGGTTCTGAAATATTGCAACATCTTTAACAGTCAAACTCAAATCTGGTATTTGTTCTTGTTCATCGTTTAATGTTGCTCGTGTTTCTTTTTGGCTTTCCAAACACTCAAACCGTTCCACCTCAACCTCAGGACATAATTCGCACCATGCGTCTTCCAGCATTTCAGTACCAACAACATTGTTTGCAGCTTCCAAGGTGTCGGATTCCAATTCAAAATGGCTTCTATTTGAATCTACAACAGCCTTGACTGAATGTCTTGTACCATCAAGGAATCGAACTAAACCAGTTTTATAAAAGTCTTGAAATGTTTCACAGTTCAAAGGTTTTAGTTCACCATTGAATCGATAAGGCAAGAATAACTGTAAAACACTTTGATAAAACTTTTCAGGATCTTTGGTTTCAGAGAAACGCGCATATCGAACAACGGCTGGTTGTGTTCGAGTTCTTTTAGCAACAAAACCAAAACCATTATTCAACTTCACTGGATTTTTGCACTTTTCATTTTTGGTCAAAACACGATATTCTGATGCAAACTTTGCCAGGCACATATCCTGAAAGACATCATCACTTGGCCTATTCTTGTAACGATCAACAAGACCGGTCATCCACATGTCATCTGTTGTCAGATTATCTGAAGACGCCTTGTCTTTTAAAACAGAAATTGGTAGGCTCATTTTCACAACATTGTCACCAGTTGGAATAAAAACAACCTTTCGGGAACACTCCTTTAAGTGCATGTTGGTTAATCTATACACAGCTTCTTGTGCACAAACATCTCGATTGTGTAAATAAACACTACCAATTGTCTTCAATGCCTGTTTAGCACTTACATTGCCATCTTTGGAAGCTTCTCTTTGAGCATTTCCTAGCAGAAGGCCAATTTCTCTTTCACTTTTAGACATGTAAGAGATTATGTAAACACAAACTGCATATGCATCAACACAAAACTGGATATCAATATTAGCATTCCAAGCTTTTAACAGTGACCTGCTGTATTGATTAATCCAGATTTCGTTAATGTTTCTTTTCAAAACAACCTGAGTATTTCGACTACATCGTTCATACGCCATTTCAAAAATTTCTTGCGTTAGTCCCAAGCTGTGAAATATTTCTTGTGTCGTAGTATATTGACAATTTTCATCCGATATTGTTTTTTTAATTTGAGTTAAGATATTACTTGCAACATCTCTTGGCATTTTCTTATGGTTATTCTTTTCCTTATTTGCACATACACACTGTTGAATAGCATCTTTTTGGTTCAGGTTGCATTGACAGACTGGATCCAGATATTTCTCACCACGAGAAATAAAGGTTCTGACAGAAGCAGGTCGTGGAAAATTAAAACGACACACAGTATTTCTCTTTTTACAACTCTTTGAATGTCGTTTTGAATGCTGCTGGACAGAAGAAACTACTTCAACTAATGAGTCATCTGAAGATGGAAGCTCACATGACACATACTTATCGATAAATGCAACCACCTCTTCATCTGTGTTTTGATCTAGGATTGGAGCGTTGGCAATCCAGAAGAGGCAATGACAATGTGGACTGCCCCGTTGTTGAAATTCAACACGATAATAATAGTCGACTACTTTACCGATAGGGTTTGCAGGAGACATAAGAACTTCTCTTAAGAAGACATGCCAACGGAAATCAAACATCCTAGCAGCAGTAACGGGATTCCGGCGCAGCAGTTCACACTTATCTGCATATTCTAATTGTTCCACAGTCTGGTTTCGGCCTTCTTGTTTCAAAATGCTATAAAGAAGATTAGTCCATCTCATATCTGCAGACGAAAACGATGCAAACCAAGTGGGCTTTCCTAATTGTTTAACACAAGCTAGAATATCTTTTTGAGCTGACTGCCAAAAAGCTGGTGTGCCTCTAATGGGTTTTAAGAAACGATACCCATCATCAAATTCTAACAGTTTCTTTAAAGATTCCTCATCTTTCACAAAGTCACTGACATTTTGAGATTTACACGTTTTGCCTTTTCTTAATGCTATTGATACATTAGATACGACCTGTTCCAGTTCTGTCATATACTGAGCAAAAAAGATGTATTCCACATTATGGGCAAACCTGCCATCAGCGTGAAGAAGTCGGTTGTTAAAATAACGAGACAAAGTTAAACGGTATTTCCGATTTTCATGATATGTATTGCATCCTGAAGGAAACAACACAGGGAAGCTTTTGGCTTCATTTGTAAAATCAGATAGCAATTTTACAGGATTATTGTTTTCACCTGGGGCTACATTCAAAATTTTGTCATAATATTGATCCAATGCTTCTTGGCCAATATCAACTGGCATAAGACAAGTGTCCTGAAACATACAGTGTTGCTGTCGATCATGCAACATCTCATCACTTTCATCAATACAAGTGTCACCATCTTCTTTCGAACTACTCTCCTCCAAAACAGAATCATCGTCCTCCCGACAAAACTCATTTATCCAGGATTCATTGAACTCAACATCTTTATAATGCAAGTTAGAATGTTTTAAATACTTCAGAGCATCCTGAACATGCATTGTGTCAACAAATTGATAATCATAATGGCCTTTATACGTGAGTTTGCGCTTCAGTTTTACTGGTAACAAAGACCCCTCCATACTACTACGTGGTAACAAACTGCACGTTTCAACAATATTTGACGGAACACAAGTAACAGGACCATGCACACCGTTTTGTCCACCTTTAGGCAGAGCCAACATTTTCATAAACGGTATATGTAAAGCTATTAAATGCTGCTCCAAAGTATTTAAACATGCTAATTTAGGTGGAATGGGATCAAGTATTAAATTATTTACTGAACTTTCAGGTGGCATCTGACCTTTATTAATTTTATAATGACATGTGTAGCAGATGTACAGTTTATTTCCCGATGTATGAAATGTGTCACAAGGTAATGTACAAGCGTCATTGCACCTGTGTACATAATCATCACTTATACAAGTTTCTGCTATTAAAGACATTTCTTTGGTTTTTTGATAAGAATCCCTTCTGCAATTCAAAACCTGATGTTTAAATAACAATCGAAAGCAGACACAACACACAAAGTTAGGCCCCTCTTTTACTTTGTCCAAAAAGTGTTCAATAACAAAATCAATTTGCTGTGAGTTTTCTTTTATCTCATCCCTTTTCAGTTTGACACGTGTAATTAGATTCTTTTTATTTTCAATGTTGCTGTACATGTTTATATTATAAAGTTTGAGTTTTTGTCTATGAATGTCATTATCTCTGTACTTACGTACACTCATTTGCTTCACTTTCCCTCGATGAATTTCATTCTGTCTGTACTTACGTACGCTCATTTGCTTAACTTTCCCTCG